TTTAGCAAGTTCCCCAGGCAGATGCGTGACTGAATTGGCTGTCATCAGTGGGTCTATTAATGTGCTTAGTATTAGGCACATGCTTAGGTATCTTGCTGAATCAGGAACACGGGGACAATAAGTAATCAATATATGTTAAATGACGTCATCTACATACAGCACAAGTCTCACTGGTGTTATGGAATTGATGCGTCATGAATGCAGTAGCCTAAGTATCACTCCAACAAGCAACACCAGATGGTAATAAAATAGACAAGGTCCTGTTCAACTGAAATATCTCAAGATGCTTTTCATAGAATCATAGAACGTTTTAAGAGAGGATATGAGAGCCAAACTCCAGTTTAACAACTGAAATAGGGTTTGTAGCAATTTTTTTCCCCAGTAGATGACCAAAGTGTTAGGAGGGCTCTGATGGAGATGCAGAGGAAGGAGACAGAAAAAGAAAGGGATATGCTGATCCTTTCTGTTGGAACTAACCAAAGAAAAACAGAAAAGCAGTGAGTGGAAGAGTTGGTGGGAAGGATGAGGTGAAAAAGAGATCAGAAACCAAGAGCTAAAATAGAAACATGCTGGACAACCCAAGGACCCTGACCTAAGCCCCAGAAAGGTCTAACCTGCAGAAGTAGAATCACAGAAGCATAGAATCATAGAATGTTTTGGGTTGGAAGGGACCCCTAGAGGTCATCTAGTCCAACCCCCCTGCAGTAAGCAGGGACATCTTTAACCAGATCAGGTTGCTCACATCCCCATCCAACCTGGCCTTGAAGGTTTCCAGGGATGGGGCCTCCACTACCTCTCTGGGCAACCCGTTCCAGTGTTTCACCACCCTCATTGTAAAGAATTTCTTCCTTATATCCAGTCCAAATCTACCCTCCTTTAGTTTAAAACCATTACCTCTTGTCCTGTCACAACCAGCCCCGCTAAAAAGATTTTCCCCATCTTTCCTATAGGGCCCCCTTAAGTACTGAGAGTACATGTTAAGTAAACATGTATCATTGAACACTGGAGATGAAAATTGTCCAATCTACATATCTTCTGTATTAAGAAAAGAGCCTTGGTGTTTACAAACCTCTGCAAAGCAGGTACCTGTAGGAAAGCCTTCACCTGCGCCCAACCAGCTGAATTGCAAGCCCAGAGCTCTGGACGACATGCTTAACATCCCATGGAGCTGGCAGCCAGCACTGTTCTAATAGTCCCATTTCAGTAAGAGACAAAGTGCCTACAGCCAGGAAGGAAGCCCGAGGATCCAAGGAAGTGAGAATGCAGCTGGGTCTCACTAAGGAAAGGTTAAGACCTTCTAAATGGGGAACCCAATCCCAACAGGAGCCTCAGGACTGTTTGACAGAAGGAACTCAAACAGGGTTGGATATCAGGTAGTGCACACAACTGCTTCCAGTCAGTCTTCCTAGACATACCAGCTCCATAAATGGTCCTCCTTCCAGCCTTTGAGCTGTTTCTGTAGAAGATGGAATGGACCATAGAATCATAGAATGTTTTGGGTTGGAAGGGACCTTTAAAGGTCACCTAGTCCAACCTCCCTGCAATGAGCAGGGACATCTTCAACTAGATCAGGTTGTTCAGAGCCCCATCCAGCCTAACCTTGAATGTTTCCAGGGATGGGGCCTCCACTACCTCTCTGGGCAACCCATTCCAGTGTTTCATCACCCTCATTGTCAATATTAGGATATTAAGGCATAATCATAGAATCATAGAATCACTTTGGTTGGAAAAGACCTTTGAGATCATCGAGTCCAACCTTTAACCTAACCCTGACATCCCACCACTAAACCATGTCCCTAAGCACCTCATCTATCCTTCTTTTAAATAC